TATAGCAGACCCCCACCACAACATCACCCTTGTTGCTCTCCCCTCTAACCTTAACCCAGTGATTTTCAACTGGCTTATCTCCAGTTACATACAGCGCAACTCTTCCCTTCCTGAACTATTTGTACCCATCCAAAACCGTACTCCAGTCATGTGAGCTATCCCATCAAGTCTCTTATTCCAGAATAAGAGACCAAAATAATGCCAAATTAAAATTTTTCCATGTGTGGAAAACTATTGAAGTGGTTGTCTTAAATTCAGGGTCATCTTAAAATCAAGTAAATACAGTAATAATTGGAAGTTTGCCTTGAATTTGTCCCCCACCCACTACTACATCAGGGAAAATAAATCTGGGGGGTCAGGTAGATGCCTTGCCCTCTGCTCCCCACAACTGCTTCACCCTGAAGCCTGTTTCCTCCATACTATCAGATACTGTTCTCCCTAAGGACATGGATGTGAGGAGCCAATTTGAAAAATACTGACCTTGAAATAAACACACCTGTAGTAATTTGAATATAGGAAAATTACAACATGTATCCATAGACTTAAGTCATCTAGAATTATGCATTTTGCCTCATTTGAAACTGCTGCAAGGTTTAGTACAGGTATTCCATTAACACACTTTTAAGCACCACTTTAGCATCTACTTAAATATAGTAGAAACTATGTATGATATTAGTCCAAACCCAAAAGGCTCATGATTTAATATATAGTTCACTGGGCTGGCTCGTAACCCCACTGTGGCTCACCGCTGCTCAGTATGGGTGTGTACACCAGATACCTCCCACAAAGGATCCATGTGCTAGCTCTCCATGACTTGAACCCAGTGTTCTTGTCAGGAGTCCTGGGATCCTCCAAAAATTTATAACCGAATGAGGTGCAGGGCAACCTGGTCCAGCTCTACCATGGAGGGTGGGGCCACACTAATATGTGACAGGCTGAGGGAGGGGACAATAGAAGGATCGTGGGTGAACTGTTTGCGGCCCCATTTGGTGAAGTTTGCCAGACATTTAAGGGTGTTGTAGAAACAGGAATCATTGGAAATGGGAAATAAAGGTGCAGCTCCGTTGTGGGCATGAAGAGGAAATTGAAATCTATTCAATGCAGTGGCTCACTATGACTTGAAAAGAGTCAGTGCCAAGGGGGACTGTGTGCAATGGACACCAATATATATCCTATTCAGATAGGCTGCACTAGCCGACCTTTGGGGTAGGTTGCCATCAGTATGTTTGCCAAATAGGACCATGTGTTTTATAGTCAGGCTCAGTGTTGGCTGTATTTAATCAGTTTCATACATCATTTCCATCACTGAGCACATGCTCATTTTGGCACCAGTTAAATAATAGACAATGCATTTAATGAGATTTTCTTGAATATAAATATAAGGGGAAGGAGGGGGTGGGGGGAAGCTTGTCTTGTATTTCAATAAATAGGGTATAAATGGATTGTCAGGATGGCAGAAGGTTGAATGGAATCCCACTACAAGGGTCAGTCTTAGGCCCAGTGCTGTCCAACAGGCTTATTAATTATTTGGATGCTGGCACAGAAAGATTCTTGAACAAGTTTGCAGACAAAAAACTGGGAAGGATTGCAAACACACTGGAGAATGGGACTGCTTTAAGAAAAATCTTAATAGATTGGAAAGCTGGGCTGGAGCCAGCAGAATGAAATTCAATGTGGACAAATGCAAAGTGGTACAATTTCAGGATAAAAATTCAAAAATTTGAATTCAAAATGGGAGACACCTGGCTAGATGACAGCACTAGAGAGAAGGAGCTGGGAGTCTCGGTTGATCACGGACTCAATGAGTCTGCAATATGATGCAGCTGCACAAGACAAATTCAGTTTTGGGCTACATCATTAGAAACATTAGATGCAAGATGTGGGAGGTGATATTCAACACTGCTTAGGCCTCATCTAGAGTGGTGCGTACAGTTTTAAACTCTACATTTTAAAAAAGGACATGGAGAAATTAAAGAGGGTCCAGAGGCAGGCAACAAAAATGATATAGGGCTTGGGAGGCAAGTCATACAAGGAGAGGTTGGAAATCGTTATGTTCAGCTTGCGGAAAAGGGGCTTAGGACGGGACATGATAAGCAATCTTCAAATACTTGAAGGACTGTCATAAAGAAGAAAACATCTCTTCTCGCTTGCTGCAGACAGTAGGGCATGGACCAATGGCTTGAAGTTGCACCAAAGAAGATTTAGAGTGGATATTAGGAAAGACTTCTTCACTGTTATAACAGTAAGATAGTGGAATTGACTGCCTAGGGTAGTTGTGAACTCTCCATCACTGGAGGTGTTCAAGAAGAGGTTCAACACCCACTGGCCAGGGACGATCTAGGCACAGCTATGCCTATATTTCTACTATGGGTATTTATCCATGCTTCTGGGCTTTCCTGGTTCACGCATGAAGCCAGGAAGGAATTTCTCCTCCTACATATATCAGGATTGTTGTTTTTTAAAGCCTCCCTCAAATGCATTCATTGGGTGTTGGTTGAAGACAAGACTGGGGATATGGACTGAGGTGTGCCAGTGTTCCTGCTAGTACTTAAATGCGTAAGTTCCTAGCTAGGAGTGTCTTGCCCCTCTGCTCAGGGGAGACCAAATATCATATTTGGGATCAGGAAGGAATTTCACCCCATGGCAAAATGGATATGGACTGTGGGGGGTTTGTCCCTCCTCTGCAGCAGGGGATGTGGCCCTCTTCCTACAAGCTCTTGAGTATATTAATAGCCACTGCAGCAGCAGGATGTTGCTCATAAATCATTAAATGAGACACAAAATCACATTGAAATTATCTTTTCATAAACATTTAGTCCAACAACGTTTGTATTTCCTACAGCATGTCTAAATTTGAAGTATTGCACATCTCTTAATTGAAAAAAAAAATAAAAGCTTTTCAGAGGTTATGAACACAACCGGCAACCAACATACTATTTACTGAAATATGCATCTATTAACTTAAAGGCCTCCAATAACTAGTTATAGCCTTAAAGTAAATTTCCATGAATGCTAAAGCAAGTGGAACGTTGCAAGACATAAATTACGTACAATGCAAAAATCTCAATTCATAAAGAGGCAATAATGGAATGTATTTCAAGTAGTTACAGGCACAGACTCCTAGAAGACATTACATTTAAAGTGCAGTTAATGTGTTAATGGAGCAATAAATTGTGACATGCCATACATTCAAGCACTTTATCACCCAATAATGAGCCACAAAAATGGTGACCCAGCCTCAAAAATGTTACTTGTTAAATGAAGAAGATCTTTATAAGTTTCTTTGTATTATAACTTAATTTGAAATTATGGTATGTTACACATAGGGTGATAGTGCTCTGCCAGGTCCTCCATCATACCAGCATCGACTGCTGCTCCCCACTATCCTATTCACCCTTCTTCCTGCAAAAGATCTTTGTGACTTATATTGAACACTGCTGCCCCAGGGTGCAGTAGCAGACATCATTACTTGCTGCCCCTCCCCTCCCTTTTACCAACGCGCCTTCAAGGATGTTTTTTTTTAAGAAGCCATTTAGCACCTCCCCCAGTGAGAGTCATAATGTAAACAACAAGATCTGCTTTACTCACACTGCAGGAATCTGGGAGAGGGAGAAGAAATGGAAAAGAGAATTTGTTCATACAGCTGCCAGCAGGACATGATGGGGAAAGAGGAAAAGCACATGTAGAACAGCATCTTAAAAGCAGCTCCAAAAGCATTTTGTCTCACTAGTCCTCCCTGCCACCCTGCCTTTGCACATCTCCCATACTCTGCAAAAGTGTCAGGGAAAGCAGCTCCTTCACCCAAGGCATGCCCAACTGATGGCTGGTGAGCTCTGAGCTCACTTCTCATAAGCAGCACAGCAGAACACAGGAGGATAAGAACTCCCATCAGCACCTCTCCAGCTCCCCCTTGCTGGCAACTGCTGGCACAGCCAGGTCCCTAGGCACTTTTTCCCCCACTGGATAGCCTGCCCTGTGAAAATGAAGAACACTGCGTTTCCATCAAGCAACATTATCTGCCAGGGGCCTTAATGATTTTCACAACTCTACTGATAAGAAAATTTCCAAACAATACACCTCAGCAGGTATGATTAAAAAAAGCCGATTTATTACTGAAACTCTTCCCTGACTTATTTCTAAGCACGGGTGATATGATAGCATTTATTTTAAAATTTTAAAATGCTCTGATTATTTAAGTTATACTGAAATGGAATTCTCAGCTAGAGTGAAAAGATACTGTATAGTTAACAGTACACTATTCTCAGTTTTGCAATATTTTACAGTCTGAATGAGAGCGGTCTTCTACTTGCATAATCATTATATAATTACCAAACCTAGAAATCTTTTTTACTATGACTACTATATTCTCAGTTCTCACCGACTTTGGTAGCTAATTTTCAAGATATTTGCCAGGAATAATAATAATGGGAGACTCAATTTCTAATTTCTGCCTAAGCAGAAAGATTCAAATGTTACCAGGAAAACAAACATTAAAAATGAAGGGAGGGGGCGGGGGGGGAGAGGCAGGGAAATGAATAAAGAGGATCAGCTCTCTTAATCTTCTTTCTGAAAGGCAAGCATCCAAAAATCCAATACAAGAAAACACAGATTTAATATATATATATATATATACACACACACACACATATATACACACACACACACACACACACACACACACAACAACCAATTTCTGATGAAAAAAGAGGGGAACCTATGCAATATAGTTTTTCAATCCAAAAACCATTCATAGATGGATAAGATTCAAAAGGTTGAGAAAAGCAGTTGCTTATATATCTTTAGACTATTTTAGTAAAAAATAAAGTCCTGGGAGTCTTAACTTAACATGCCATTATTTTGTTAAGTACTAAATTATGTACATGAGTAACAGAGAGGCAAATCATATGCTTCTTCATTTTTAGACTTTATACGCTATCCCTCTAAAGTTACCAAAAACATCAAGTATAGTAAGTGGCTTAACTGAATTGTTCATTCCATACCTAATTTTTCCTTGTTCTGTCAAGTCTCCATCACTGTGCAATATTGTTGTTAACAATCTCAGAGTAGAGGTTCCTGATTTACTATGGTTGTTCTTCATTCCCAGTAACCATCGAACCATCATTTTAATCGCCTGGATCTGAAAGAAATGTTGACAAGTATTGAGTCAATTACTTCCTACAAAAAAAACTTCCTGAAATAATCGCTACAGCAGCCTAATAATATAGCAAAACGTCTCTCTCAATGCTTCTTTAAAGAAAGAACACTGTAGCAGGGCACTAAGGTGCCTGCTACTTGGAGGGCAAGGATAACCCCGCAGGTGCTGGTTGCTGAGGCAACCAAAGGGAACTTATGGCTCACACCTGTCTAGCCAGCTAACAAGAAGGGGCAGGGCCTGGCTCCTATATAAACCACAGGCAGGAGGCCAGGAGGCAGTTCCCTACCAGCAGCCAGAGAAGAAGCAGCTCTCCATTAAGAAAAAAGAAGAGACGCCGGAGGCCAAAGCAGCAACTGTCACTGCAGCGGGATGGAGCACCCCCGGTAGGCTTGAGTGTAGTTATAGCCAGGCGGCGTGTGCTTACATTATAGCCGAGGGGCTTGTGTTTATGTTACTATTTGTTACACCGGTGGTTTGGGTGAGGCCATTAGGGGTTGAAGGAGGCCTCATAGGGGACTCTCAGTAGAGTGGGGACCCCAGCACCAGTGAGGGCGCAGCATTTGGGGAGCATAGACCCCAGCCCCAGAGAGGGGCAGTTGAGAAGCCCCAGAGAAGGGGGCATTGCTCAGAAGCCCAGTGCAGGTGCGGTGAGCCCCGGAGAAGGGGGCAGCGTGTGAGAAGGCCCTGAGAGGAGGAGAACTAGTTATTGTGGCAGTCACTGAAAAATCTGACAAATAGGGAATATATCATAGATTTCATAGACATTAGGGGCTGGAAGGGACCTCATAAGATCGTCAAGTCCAGCCCCCAGAGGCAGGAAGTCTGCAGGGATCAAATGAACCCAGCAAGATAAACATCCAAGTGCCTTTTGAATGAGTCCAGAGTAGGCACTTGCACCACCTCTGTGGGAAGTCTGTTCCAGACCTTGGACACACACACTGAAAAGAAGTTTTTCCTTATACCGAGTCTGAATCGGCCTTCTACAATTTTGTGGCCATTAAACCTAGTTTTCCTTTGGGGAGCCCTGGTGAACAAGTTTTCTCCTAGATCCTGATGCACCCCTCTTATATACTTATAGGAAGCCACCAAGTCCCCCCTGAAACTCCTCTTCACCAGGCTGAAGTGTTCCATGTCCCACAGCCTTCTCCTCATAAGACTTGTTCTCTTAGACTTTGATCATATGGGTGGCTCTCTTCTGGACTCTCTCAAGCTTATCTACATCCTTCCTGAAGTGGGGGGCCCAAAACTGGATGCAGTACTCCACCTGAGGCCTCACTAAGGCTGAGTAAAGCAGAAAGATAGCATCCCTGGTTTTGCTTGAGATGAATGGGTGGATGCATGCCAGAGTTTGGTTTGCTTTGTCTGCCACAGCATCACATTGGTGGCTCATCTTGTGGTCAATCAAGATCCCCAAGTCTCTTTTAGTCTTGGTGCTTGAGAGCATAGCACCACCAAGCCTATAAACATGATGCCGTTGTTTCTCCCAAGATGGAGTACGCTGCATTTCTCTACGCTGAATGCCATCAGGTTTTAGTCCGCCCACTTTGCAAGCATGTCCAGGTTGGCCTGTATCCCCAACCTGTCCCCCACAGCTTAGTGTCATCCATGAACTTTGCCAGTCTGCATGTAATGCCCAAATCCAGATCATTAATGAAGATACTGAAGAGTATCAGCCCGAGTACTGAGCCCTGGGGGACTCCACTGGTAAACCTTGCGCCACATTGATTTGTTCCCATCAACTAGCACCCTTTGGGTCCTACCGCAGAGTCAGGTCCCCAGCCATCAGACTGTGAGATGGTCGAGGCCACAGGTCCCCAGCTTGGTCATGAGGACATCATGGGAGACCAAATCAAAGGCTTTCTTGAAATCAAGATAAAAGACATCAACCTTGTCTCCCTTGTCCAGGCAATGCTTCACCTGGTCATAGAAGGAGATGAGGTTGCTCAGGCAAGACCTTCCAGTAATAAAACCAGGTTGGCTGGCAAGAATGGGAAGAAATAACTTATCACCTCAAAGAAACAGAAATCTAATCGGGGGGGGGAGAGAATAAGGCTTTGGAAAACAAAACAAAATTACCTATCAATAAAATTTAAAATGAAAATTAGTCCTCTAAAACTAGAAAAAGACCTCTTTGGTAACTGAGTCCAGTCACATGGTAGCATAAGCAGCCATGATGGACATTCATTTATAAGTTTATCAAACTCCATCTTAAATTCACTGAGGATTTACTATCCCTCTATTTCTAATTAATCCTTGAGAAACTCTGCTAGTGACCTTCCTTTTTCATAAGTTTCCTTTTAGATACAACTTAGCTCCCCGTTATCCAGTTTCTTCCCCATATGACATTTTTTCTACTAATCCCCATTTCCTTTATCTTAACTAATTGCTTTTCATGAAGCTCCAGCTCAAGAAAGCACTTGGAAGTCCACAAAGATTAGACATGGGGTGGGCAAAATGCGGCCTGCAGGCTGAATGCAGTCCACAAGGCCATTCTATCCAGTTCACAGGGCCCCTAAAAAAATTTAGGAAATTAATATTTATCTGCCCCTGGCTGCCTGTCATGTGGCCCTTGATGGCTTGCCAAAACCCAGTAAGCAGCCCTCCGCCAGAAATAACTGCTTGCCCCTGGATTAAACCCACATCCCCTTTCTCTAGAAAAATCAGCCAATTTATTAAAAGAAAGATACTACGTTTATCTGGCACAATCTCTCTTTTGACAAACCAGTGTTGCCTTTCGGTGCATTTTTCTTTTACCTCCCTTTATTCTTTCCTTTAAAATTCATTTCCAAACTTTGCCTTCAATCAGTCTAATAAATCAGATATGCTGGCATGGAGATTACAGTGACCTCCCAACTTCAAAACTGAGAGTTCTACTTCCATTTCCAAGATGAGACTTGCCATTCCTATACATACATTTGAATTGGCCTTCCTCCTTTTTGTATGTTAAACAAACACCAAGACTGTCCAACTGGCATGGAGTTAATGGACAGCCTGCAGGCTTCCTCCCAGCTGTTATTCCCCATATTGGTACTCTTGCTGTGGTGACAGCTGCGGTCCTTGGGGACAGGGCAACATATAGCCAGAGGTAGTTTGGTAAGCTCACTACCTAGGCAGCAGGGCAGAAATGTAGGCTGCTTGTGCAACAGTACCAGCCAGGGAGGGAGGTGGGAGCAGGAGGGAGACAACTTGTGCTGCTCATATGACAGCAGTGGCGGGGGTTCTCCGGCACAGCCATAGCAGCGGGGTGCAGAAGTGGGCTTGAGCTCACTGTATGGCAGTAGCAAGGGTAAGGGGTTTACAGCACCACCACCAGCAGCATAGGGGCTCAGGCTGTTCCAGTAGAGGGTGGGGGGCTCAGGCTGCTCACGCAGCAGCAGTCCTGGCACAAGGCTCAGAGACTTTTTAACTGGTGCAGTGTGCGGAACCTGGACACTCTGGACAGCCTGTTTTACACCATTATCCTTACTGCAAATAGAAGCAAAGCATTAAATTAGATTTGGGGCCACATATCCTTAATCTTTTTAATTCTCACTGCACTGTAACATTTATGCTTTCTTTTTTTTTTTTCTTTTTAGTGATATAGCTGAAGAACCTTGTGGTATTTGTCTTCATTCCTTTGGTCTAAATCTGTTTAACTTTTGGCTATTCTCATTTTATCCCTTCACTCATCTGCAAGATAATGAAGCTTTGATGATAAATCTTCACCTTCTCCACCCAAGTTCTTCACTGTCTCCAGTTACTCATCATTTCTGGTGGATATCCAGAGTTAGAACAGCAATCCTTCCCTAGAGGTATTGTCACCTTAATTAGAACGTGAATTCCAGAATTTTTTTTCCACTTTACAAGTAACTTTAAATGACATGATTGGTTTGTAATGCACAAACGCAAAAACTAAGTTTGCAGATTGAAACTTTAAATCTACCCTTTTCTAGCTTTTTGAATGCTTAGTGTAGCCACTTAAATTACTTTTCTTAACATAAGAACTTTTTATATGCAATTTGAGAGCTTTTTCTCTGAAATATAAAAGTAAATATTAAGTGTAAATTTAACAGCCTCTCCTGGAAGTGATTTAACCCTCTCCCAGGAGAAACTTAATGTCTGTATGAGGTCTCAATCAGTGAAAAACCCTGTTTCACCTTAAATCATTGATAATTCTTTCTAATTCTCTTTCCTCATTTTGACCCTCTACCATCCATCTCTGAGAGTCTCCTCTATTCACCCTCCTACACTTTACTTCTTCCCTCATGGCTACACCATCCCCTCAATGAATCACCAATGCTCCTGGCATTGAAGTGTTGTCACTGTCCTTTGTAGATGACACGCCAATGAAACTGAATGCAGGCAAGTATCATAATGCTGGTTTATACTTGGTTGATGTTTGACTGCTGCTTGTCGGAGCTGATTTGGATCAGTGCCTCGACACAGTGGAACTTTCTAGCACAAGGCACGGTAAGGCAGGGGAAGTCTTGGATGGTGAAGAGTTCCGGCGTGGATAGAGTTCCCGCCGAGGAAATGCAGATTTGTATAATACGATTGGCCAATGTTAAATTATTCCCACATGGCGGCTGGCAATTGGCTCGTTAGCCATATAAAAGGTTAGGGGCGTTTCCGCCCTAGTTGGAGAACTCTGTGATTCCCCCTGGAGTGGAACTCCGGCAGCTTGATCACCTGCCAACGACTCCCCATCGGCGAAGCCTTGCAACGTATCCTCCGTGTTGCATACCTGAGTTAGACCCGAGCTACCCGGTCTACAAGAGCTCCTCGATTACCGATTAAAGAATAGAATTGTTGCAACTACGATTGCCTGCGCTGTATACGACTCTACAGTGTAAGTAAAGCTACCTCTGTTTTTCCAATTGATACGTGTCTCGTCTGTGCCTAATTCTGCTCCGGTGATACAGAGTACCCATCTACCTGTCACGGGATCGCAGCCGCAACCCCAGCTAGCGTTCCCAAAGACTCCCAGTCCTCAATTCCCCCTC